TCCAAATGCATGCGGCGGGACTTACGCAACTTTACTACGGCTCGTATTGAAGAAGAGATCGAGATCTGTTTGCCAGAAAGAGCCAACTGTCAAAGCTTAAGACTGAGTGTGGCAGCATTGTTTCCAGAACACCTGAGATTTTGAGTGAGATTGAGAGGTTCTATGGGCAGCTGTACACATCATCGTTGGAGCCATATGCAAGTGTGAGTAACGATCCAAGAGAAAGTCTTATCCGACACTATTGCGATGATATCCCGGATGTCAGTCTCAGCGAGATTAGAATGGCTATCCAGCACCTTAAAAACAGCAAGGTCTCAGGCGGGGATGGAATTACAGCGGAGCTTCTAAAAGCGAGTGGAAAACCGGTACTTGAAGTCCTTCAGAAGCTCTTTAATTCCGTCCTCCATGGTGGCATTACTCCGGAAGCGTGGAGCAGAAGTGCGGTGGTCTTGTTCTTCAAGAAAGGCGACAACGCTCTCTTGAAGAACTACAGACCGATTCCCCTTCTGAGCCGCGTTTACGTGCTGTTTTCGAGAGTCATTACGTATCGTCTCGCACGCAGAATCGACGACTTCCAGCCTCTCGAATAAACCTGTTTTCGAAAAGGCTTCAGTATCATAGACCACATACCCTTCGGCATTGTACAGAATTTTGTACTTATAATAATTATACAGATTGTACAGAAGACCGAAGAGTACAATCTGCCACTTTGCCTTGAATATGTGGACTATGAAAAAGCCTTTGATTTCGTCGAAATTTGGTCGGTACTACACTGGTGCCAAGTTGACTGTCGGTAATTTGAAGTGCTGAAGTGGTTGCACAGTATGGCTACGATGGCTATCTGAGTACAGAACCAAAGTACGAAACCTGTCCAACTGCAGAAAGATGTACGACAGGATGACTTTATATCACCGAAGCTTTTCACCACTGCTTGGGAGATGTTTTCAAGCTACTGACCTGGAAAGAATACGGAATTAACATCAATGGCGATTACATCACTCACCTTCGATTTGCCGACGATATAGTCCTTAAGATGAACATGGACAAAAGAAAGATTTTATTTATTTTTTTTACTTTATGGTGTTAAGAATTATGTCATTTCTAAACATACGAATTATTAATTAAAATTGTTATTTTATTAAAAATAAATTTTAATAGTGCGAGGTGATAGTGATAAACAAATATTTGTATGCCTTTTTAGGCGAAACATAGTGTTACTTATCATACCTTTTCCACCAAGTTTGTAACTTTTTACCTATGTTTTACAAATAAATTATTTCATTTGATTTGATTTGAAAGTTCATGTGTAATGTCCGTCTCACCTATGCCGGTAGTTGTTGGGAGCACTAAGTTCGAAGTTGTTGACGAGTACGTTTACCTGAGACAAATAATCCGACTAGGTAAGTTCAACTTCGACCGAGAGGTCAACCGACGGATTCAACTCGGCTGGGCAGCGTTTGGGAAATTACGACACATCTTCTCGTCAGATATAACCTCACAACCTGAAAACTGGATTGTACAACCAGTGCATGTTGCCAGTGATGACTTATGGATCTGAAACGTAGTCCTTCACTGCTGACCGTATAAGGACGCTCAAGGTCGCTAAACGAGCTATGGAGAGGGCTATGCTCGGGGATTCTCTGCGTGATAAACTTAGAAATGAGGATATCAAAAGAACCGACAACCGATGGGGAAAAACGTTCTCAGGTGGCAGCCTCGTACCGGTAGGCGTAGTGTAGGGCGACCCCCACTAGATGGAGTGACGACCTGGTAAGACATTCAGGAAGTCGATGGATGCAGGTGGCTCAGGACCGTGCTTTGTGGCATTCTTTGGGGGAGACTTATGTTCAGTAATTGACTTGTGAAGGGCTGTAATGATGATGATGAATATATTTACTTTGACCTCTCAATACATTTATAAAAATGTAATGTACATACACGAAAATAAAAGTAGTTTTATAAAAATAACTTATATTCATTTTGTGAAAACTAGGAACCAACACAAGCTAGTAGTACCAGTTACTCGACTCCACCAAGTCAGTAATTAATTCTAGGGGTGATGGGTGGATTGAAAAGTACTCGGCCTAACACAGATCCATTCAATTCTAAAAATCAAATCTACGCACATTATTTAGTTCAGTTCAGACTAGTTCATTGTGTGAAGTTCGAAACGTGTGCGATAATTAGTTGTGATTTTATAAATTTATTAACAAAGTAATCGGACATAATTTCCGCGAACGGAGCAAATCGAGCAGCGTGCCGTCATTAAGTACCTCCATAAGAAGGGGCTATCATCAAAAGCCATCCATGATGACATGGTCAGTACATAAGGCGATTGTGCTCTGTCATATTCATCCGTCAAAAAATGGATAGCAGAATTTAAGCGTGGTAGAGAGAGTGTGAAAGATGAACCCCGCTCTGGAAGGCCTTCGACGTCAACTACTGACGAAAATATTAAAAAAGTACTTGATTTAATAATGGGAGACCGCAGATTAAAAATTTGAGAGATAGCCGAGATTATAGGCATCTCTTATGAACGAACTCAAAACATCATTGTCAACGAGTTGGGTTTCCACAAGGTGTCTGCGAGGTGGGTTCCGCGACTGCTTTCAGTTGAACAAAAAAGGACGCGATTGACTATTTCACGCGACTGTTTGGAGTTATTTGAAGCCGATGCAGATGATTTTTTGAATCGTTCGACGAAACATGGGTTCATTACTGTACACCGGAAACAAAACAACAATCAAAACAGTGGAGAAGACCTGGTTCACCACCCCCTAAAAAGGCTAAGTCGATTTTGTCGGCAAATAAGGTGATGGCTTCAGTATTCTGGGACTCGAAAGGTGTGATTATGATTGATTATCTTGAAAGGGGTCAGACTATAAACTCTGATTACTACTGCACCTTACTACGTCGTTTACGAGAGGAAATAAAAGAAAAACGTCGAGGAATGCTCAGAAGAAAAGTCCTGTTTCATCAAGATAACGCCCGTGTTCACACGTCAGTACAGTCAATGGCTGAAATTCACAACTGTGGCTTTGAACTGTTACCGCATCCGCCGTATTCACCTGATCTGGCACCATCAGACTTCTTTCTGTTCCCTAACCTAAAAAAGCACTTGGGAGGTCAAAGATTTTCGACAAACGACGAGGTCAAAGCAGCTGTAGACGCATATTTTGACTCTAAGGAAGAATCATTTTTTTTCAACGGTCTAAATGCTTGGAAGGGGAGGTGGTAAAAGTGTATTGAACTTGATGGTGATTATGTAGAAAAATAAAAATATAACTGATTTAGTATGTGTTTATTTTCTTGGTTAGGCCGAGTACTTTTCAATCCACCCTCGTAAAAGCTTTTACAACAAAATCTCAGAAAATATACAAAAACTGACCTGCACGAAGTTCAGAAAATTTATTAAACTAAGTTTGTATAAAAAGGGGTTACTACAATATTAAGGAATTTAGGGATGATAACCCCTTGTTGGCCGGCCGGCCATTTGCAAATAATGCGCATCTGCTAAGGCATTAGCAGATAGTTTCCGCGATATCGGCGCGTGGCGATTAAATTAGTAATTTCTCAAAAATATTGTATCGGAGCTATATATAAAACGTATGTCATTTGAATTGTTATATTATTTGCTATTATTCTGTACTTATCTTAGTTGAATACAACCTAATAGATTTTATTAAGCCGAATTCAAAGTTAGAAAACTGAATTTTTTTTAATTTTTTGAACATAATTTGTGAAAATTAAACAGAAAAATCATTCATTTATAAAATAAAAGTTATTTATTTTCATCAATATACACTAATTTATAATAAAAAAGCAAAAAATCACACATTCCTATATATTTTTTACACCAAAAGTTTTTTAGTCTTAACATATGAACGGCAACCCAAGCATCGCACAAAAAATAGCATATATTGTTACCTTTATTTTGAGAAAGGAGCGAGTCAAGTAATTTTAACGTAAAGTATGGTTCAAGTTCTTAATTTAGACAAAGTTTCATTTCTAAAAAGTATGTAATGTATTTTTATTCAACAATAGAGATTGTAAGGTAAGTAGGTATAACGGCCGTTTATGTTCGAAATGTTTTTTTTTTATAAAAAGAATACATATCCCTAAACTATGAATTAAAAACTGTTGGTTATTAACCCTTCCATGTTAAAATAGCACCAAACTTCACTATTTGTTTGATTTACGAATAAAAAAAGGACAAAAACCAGGATGGGCGAACACATAAAAGTAACATTCACATACGACTGCCACACAGGCTGTTTATTCGAAATTTCTAAACATTGTAGTACTTTAGTAGCTTTGTATCGTGTCGTCTTTCTTTAGTGTATAATTTTATATCAGTAAAAGTGTGATAGCAATCATTGTCGCCAGTTATTTTACCCGCCAAATACCCAGGTGCTGCAGGCAGAAACTGGTCGCTTGCCAGACGTGCGTAATTAACCATCGGCCAGAATCTGACCGGTCGCCACACAAGGAGATAATAACCCCTGGGAAGGGTGATCCCTACAAAGCTATTTCTAATTTGTTATGTGTTGTTAATTGTAACATACATGATTGTTTTTTTTTAAGTCCCACTGGGTTTTTGCTGATTCTTCCCAGGACACAGGTTTTTTTTCCGAACCGATTGTAAATTACAAAAAAAAACTTTCAACAAGTAGTAGTATTATTTATAATCTATATATTGAATAAAAAGTATTGAATAAAAAAGATTCTCTTTTTGTTACTAAACACCTAAATCTACAATTAACTATGCAGCTCAGTAATTACAAAATAAAAGTTAAAATGCTTTTTTACACAATTTATTAATTACAAAACCTCTGAATAATCAACCAGTTTACTTAAAAATGTTGTCCTTAATACCAAATACTTAACAATTTTCTACACCAAAGAATTCAGAACCCAGCATTTAAACTTTTCTAATTAGTGTGAATTTCTTCTGTAATAGTCAAGAAAGCATTCTATATAATCGGGACATTATCATAATATCAGTTAGTGGTAGTAGTTCCTGATGCAGAAACAGCCTCATTTTCCATTGCGTGTGATGGTGGATGTTCAAGGACATTATCTATTAATCCAAAAGCCTTTGCTTCAATAGGAGACATAAAACAATCTCGCTCCATTGAAGACTGCACTCTCTCCAATTGTAAACCAGTATGCCTTACATACAAAGCATTAATTTGTGCTTTGAGTTTTAATATTTCTTCTGCTTGAATCTGTATATCAGTTGCTTGACCTCTTACCCCTCCTGATGGCTGATGAATCATAATACGGGAGTTAGGGAGAGCGTGACGCATACCTGGAGCACCTGCCGCTAGCAACAGTGATGCCATACTGCAAGCTTGTCCTACACACCATGTAGCTACAGGTGGAGTTATGTACTGCATTGTATCGTATATTCCCAATCCAGCTGTAACATTACCACCTGGTGAGTTTATATAAAGATGCACGGGCTTTTTACTAGATTCCGATTGTAGGAAGAGAAGTTGTGCAACAACTAATGAGCTTATTTCGTCAGTTATTGGTCCCATTAAACAAATTATACGTTCACGAAGAAGTCTTGAATAAATATCATAGGCTCTTTCACCTCTTCCTGTTTGCTCTACAACTATCGGTATCATGCCTATTCGGACCGGGTTTGTTACACTTATTAGTCTCTGAATTGATGTGCTGACTTTGTTACGATTACTACATACCGCTTTCGCAAATTGAAGAATATGGTTTAATGCCATTTTCAGCAAATCGTCACAAACTTATTTGGATAAATTATAAAACAGTTCGACACGTAAAGCTACAAGCAGAGAATAGATGCTTATATTTGCCCTTTAGGTAAATAATTATAAATCTAAAACTGTTCCACATTAAAACTGCGCAAATGGGTCTTCATCTTTATTCGAAAGAGTATGTACTTTTCTCTATTGAAAGAAAATTTATAAAATCCCTATCTCGGATCTCGGTATAAAATTATTTTATTTGTTGTTGTTACGATTCGATAGTTAAGGCAAGCAAAGGTCTTGGGTCATACAGCCTTGTCTAATATATCGTAACGATGTGAGCAGATTATTTATTTGTAGAAAATTACGGCTTTAGAAGGATGAACTCTTTATTTAGTGCGCTACAGTAGGGGCGTTCACTTAAAAAATATATCGCTACGTATATTCAATGTAAAACATCGAATCCCAGCATCGATATTTATCGACGATATATCGCTAGAAAAACCAATGTTTTCATTACTGAATACTTTACATAAATTTTTAATTATTTCAAATGCTTAATATTACCTTTTTCCAGTGACACGCGCAAAATTTACGGTCCTTTATTTTGTATGTGTGAATGTAAATTCAGAGACCAGAATAACATAACAGCATATTTTCTTTATTCATATTCATAAAGGCAGCCTTTTAGATATTTTTACGTGGCTAAGCAGGTCCGATGTATTACCACGAGGTTTAATAGTTTTTTTGGCAAATTGCATTTTACGAAGTTTTCATTTCCCTCAATTTTCGTAAAAACCTTACATACATGACTTTTCTTTGGAGGCGTCATCTTGTAATTGACTATACTACCGGCACACTATGATGGTCGTTTTGACGTTTGTACACTCATGAAAAAAAGTAAAGTAAAAAGTAAAGTTACAGCCTATATACGTTCCACTGCTGAGCACAGACCTCCCCTCATTTCTGAGAGGGACTGTCCTTCATGAGTGGTTCTGATGAAACCCTCTCAGAACCACTCATGAAGTTTCGTATTAATTATAATTACATTTGAAGGAGCAAATTGCTATTCTTTATTGTCAATAGTATCATAAAATTTATCGAATGTATTATTTTAGGACACAAAACTAATTTATTACATTGATTTCTAAACTATATATATTAGAGTCCCGCGTACATTTTTTTTTAAAGATTATAATTATTGGTTTACTTATTTACCACACAACTCGGCATTTGTTTTTCGAACAAATTTATACGCACAGAGTTATACGGTTACCGCCTTACCATTGTGAATATAATGCAATTGAGTTGGTGTGGGCTCAAATTAAGGGATATGCTGCAAGACACAATACAGAACCCCCATTTACCACAACAAAAATGCTAAAAATATTAGAAGAAGCTTGTGAACATGTGACTAAAGGAGACTGGGAAAAGGTTGTGAATAGAACTGTTAAATTAATAAGGAAAGATTGTGAAAGAGATGTTAACATAGATAATATTTTAGAAAACGAAGTCATAATTAATGTAGGTGATGATAGCAGTAACGACAGTGAAAATAGCAGTATGGACGAATCTAATTTAATATAGCCTTTTGTGGCACCTTTTTTGGTCTCTTTTTGTATTAATTTGTTTCTTGTATAAAGTATGTATATTCATTTTCATTCCAATATTCAGATGGTTCAAATATATTAAGTAAGCATTTATATTTTTGTTTCATTAAACCTTTTTAATCAGGTACTACTTGCAATAAAAACTTATAGATTTCATTATATTTTTTTCGAGATTAAATTGTCATTTCTCAATTCTTTCTACATTCTTTTAGAGAATCCACTTTTAATCACAAGTAATGATTCGATTTGAAATCCCTTCATTGTTGTGTCGGTTGAGCAAAGTAACACAGCAGTCGACGCGTATTTGCAAGTTCGATTCACTCAATTCATGAGGAACCCATCGTTCAAGTTTTTTTACTTTTCCGATTTGCTTCAAGAGGATTAATACAGTTTTATCACTTACCCCGGAGCCTGCAGCTATCTCTGAAGTGCTTTGTGATGTATCCGCTTCCACAATATCTTTTAATTCTTCATTTTCCACTTTGGTCTCAGGCCGTCCACGGGGTTGGTTCTGAAGGTCGAAATTTCCAGAACGAAAACGTTGAAACCAAAAACGTACCGTGCTTTCTTTTGCGACACCAGCGCCGTACACATCATTAATCCTTCGAGCTGTTTCTGCAACACTGGTGCCACGGTAGAACTCGTACTCGTAAATATACCGATATTTCATGTTTTCCATTGTGCGGTAATAAGCGACGCCAAAGAAAAAAATAAAGAAGAAAAAACAAATGAATGACTGTTTTCAAAACTCAAATTTACCGTCTAAATGAATTTGGAATTCTTTACCAAAGAGATTTTTTTAATTTATTTATTTAATCTATATTATACACCTTATATACTATGGGATATAAAGGGCGGACTTAATGCCTTATGGCATTCTCTGCCAGTCAACCCTGGATGATTTGAGAAACTGTGGCAGGGGTAATCAATGACTTCATAAATAAATAATAAGGATATAAAACAAAATAAAATGCAAATGAATAGAATAGATATATAGTATGTAAAATATACATACTTACTAAATATATAATATAGGATAAATATATATATAAACGGGTACTTCTATACAAAACTATAAGTAAGTAAAATATGAGACAAAAATAAAATAACACAATACATATTAAAATACATTATACAAAATATTACTTATAAAGTGAAAGATATTTCAGATCGAAGTGGTCAGTACGACAAAACGCTAATTTCATATATAAGGATCCAATATACAAAAATACGTGTGGCACTCGGTGACTGCCGCGGTAAAGCTATTGCATAGCATTTTTTATCAACTTATGCAATTATAATTATTTATTTATTTTATTTATGCAGTTAAGTCTTTGATATTAAATCAAGTTACACTTTTTGAGCGTGGTGACCGATAAGAAAACAATTTTTTTTCTCTTATTGAATAAATGAGAAGTTAATATTGTTTAAAATATTTTTAATATCTTACAATACATGTAGGTTATTCAGGAATTTTTATCACTGAGTTAGCAGCTAGTGTACACGCATACGTCTAGTCGCACGCACACAAATACCGTGCCAAAGTCTGCCGAGTGCCGAAGTCTGCCGAACTGAAACGACGATAGACGATGCACGGCTTTCAATGCCACACCTCCGTGCCCGTCGGAGTGGGGAGCGTGAGGTTTTTTTTCGTTACGGAATTTCTGGATTCGGTCCCCGCGCTCAAGGCCCGCGATAGAAGCTATGCAATAGCTTAAAAAGATATAATACATAAAATCCAACCATTGGTAAGTGAGACGAAACAGCCGAGTTAGGAGACATAGGGAAAGAAACCAATGAAAAATTTGGCTGCATCTGAGCCTGGAACAAAGTCCTTTAAAGTGGGTCTACGCTAGACGAGCCAAGCACGAGCGGAGCATGAGCCGAGCGCAAATTCATGTAGTGTGAACCGACTTACAAGCCTTGAACAAGGGCTCTCCGAGCATTAAGGTACGGACAGACGTGCTCATTACTGGCACGAAAGCATACCTTTATTGAGCAAGTGCTCATTAGTAGCACGTGTGTCGCAACATTGATAGTAATGAGCATGCTTATTTTGAGCATGCTCAAAAATCAACCGAAGTTTGCTTTTCGAGCATGCTACCCCTGAGGCGCGGGTAGAATCGAAAAATAGAAGATCTCGATTTCCGACAGTTGCTGCGTCAATTTAAATTAAAAACCCCTCGATATGTCGCGTTGGGGGAAGAAAAGACTTTGCTTTTTCTTCTTACTTTTATTATTTATATTTTATTAAGTTATTATTTTATTAAGTTCTGTACGGATATCACTGTCACTATATCTTTCTACATCCATTTTGGCCGAGAACCTGGTTGCTTTAAACGTGCTTATTACTTTCAAGTGTGAACAGTTGCAGAGCATGCTCATTTTGAGCAAGCTTATGAACATGCTTTCTTTTAGGAACGTCTGTACGTACCATTAGGTTTGTGCTCGACTGTGCTCCGCCTATTGTGTGTTTTTGACGAACACAAAGGGATTTGCATCGCCTGCATCGATTTGTTGTAGGCTAGTTGTACGTCCACACTTGACACCGCGAGTAGAGCGGCTCAGCTTGTGCTTAGCTCGTTTTCGGCTCCTCTAGCATAGACCCACCCACCTTAAGATATTCAATAAAGGAAAAGTTAATAATTAATCTATAAAATATCACCGTGTAGTCGTGATGTGAGATACACTATAATCCCATGTATGTGTATAAACCTCAATTCGTCGCGAGTTTTAAGAAGCGACTATGAAAAATGTTATAAAGATCTGAAGGTTTCTGATAGGTGTAAGACAAACCATCACATTTATTCTAGACATAAAATAATTGGACAGAAGGCAGACGGCGGTGTCAAATGATGATTTCGCTAATCTCAAAAAAGAGATATACAGCAATAATGTATATGTATATGTATAATAAGTATTTAATGAGCTGATCAAGAAAGAAAAGAAAACATGTGTAAAAGATTTAAACCATGAACACATTGTTCTTTGCATTTATATATTTTGATAAAAACTATAGTGACATTTTCACACTGTAATTAAAACAATATATTCACATAATTATCAACAACAAATCATAACTACTAAGGCATAGCAAGTAGTTTTGTATAATCAAAATTTCCATTGAGGTAATAAACCCTCAGTATAATGAATAAATAATCATTTTCTTAGTAACTGTCATATGTAGGAATGTAACGATACATAATTGTGCAGATACGATACCGATTATTGTAGTATTATTAATTATTAATGAATAATTTTCCTTATTGTGCATAAAAGTTACCTATATTTATCAGAGACTGAACCTTGAGAAGTTTGAAAACAAAAATGTCAAATCAAAATTTCTAAATTAAAAGAAAACATTTATTTATATGAAATAATTAAGAATATTCTCAAGCAATCAAAGCGCCAATCAACAAAGTAATTTTCATTACACAAAGTGGTTATAAAGTATAATGATATAAAAGATTGACAGTAATTACAGTTAACTTTTGATAGATTTTGTGAAGAAAACAGTTTGTTTAAATATTTAGCCGATAATCTGTTTCGCAAATCATTTTTAAAGAGACCTGCAGTTGAAAACAGACACTCTGAGGCAACTGCGCTGAGCAAAAATGTGACGTGCACATTATTCGTTTCACGCGCTTTTTAAACTCTTGATATCGGTTGTACATAATTGGAGATACCAATATATCGGTCTGCCGATTACATTGGCTGATATATCGTTATCGTTACATGCCTAATCATATACATTTCAATATAATATCTTACAATCAAATACATGCAACAATTATGTTTTAGCCTTAGCCTGCTTACGTAGCCTTAATTTCATTAATGCTTCCTGTCTCTTTTTCTCAATAAGAGATTTTAAATTTACAGTATTAATATTTGTATTTAGTTCGTTAGGTGGTATTTCAAAATTTGAGTCGGACAATTTATTTATGTTTGTTTTAAATGCATTAGTACTTGGTACTTTGGGCTGAAATTTAAGCTTTTTGGATACAGTTGATTGTTCTGGTACACTTTGAGTTGATAAACTTTGAGTTTGTGATGTTGTAAAGGGCAATTGCCTTTTTGCTAACAACTTCTCTCTTGCTAACTGATGCTTCTTTTTAATTTCCTCTGGTGTACATCTTATTGGAGAATCCCCTGGCTCTGTAAATAGAAAAAAAGTATATTAATGGTACAATTATATTTTAAATTAACTAATATACAGTGCCAGCCAAGTTTGAGACTGCTTGTAAAAAAAATTACTATCCCTAAATATGTTAAAAGTATGGAAATAATTATAGCTTTTAACAACAAAGTAAAAACCGACTTCAAATAGCTAAAAAAGTTATTTATTTACTACCCCTAGGAGTGGACTTTTTTCACCAAATTTATATGCAATCATCAAAATTGGTTCACAATCTGTGAAGATATAATGTAACATACAAAACAAAAAACGCCCAAACGCGAGTCGGACTCAGGCATAAAGGTTTCCATACCATCGTAAACACATGTTCTACTTGGGTAGTCCCCTTTAATTTTTAATTTATTTTGAATAAAACTATTTATATGGATTTTATCATGTTTAATTAACTTATTTTTAAAAAAAGCAAGAAAGAACGGATAAGAATGATAGAAGAATATCGGATAACTTCCAGGCAAATATTAAAATGTTCTGGAAACTTGTAAGAACTGCCAGGGGACATTCAAAACAGCCTATGATGAATGCTATAAGAGACGAGAATGGCTATATTCTGAATGATGAAGTTTTGAGTTTAAAGAGATGGATGGAATTTTGAAAGAGTATTAATGAGTGAGGAGACAATGTGTGTACTAAGTGAAGCAGAAACACCGAAAGAAGAGGAAAGAGGTAGCGAGATAAGTATAGATGAAATAATGAAAGCAATGAAAAGCATGAAAGCTGGTAAGGCTGCCGGATATGATAGAGTTTCACTCGAAATGCTAAGTGCTGGAGAGGAAGTGGTGGCAGGCTTGCTGCACACCTTGTTTAATTTATGCTGGGAACTGAAGCGGGTACCGGTAGACTGGTGCAAAGCCGTGAGAGTCCCAGTATATAAAGGAAGAGGGTCGCAGCAGGACTGTAAAAACTACCGTGGCATCAGCCTAAGAAAGCATTGTGAGAAAACTGTATGCTAAGGTACTGATTGAAAGAGTCATGAAAGAAACTGATGGAAAAATTTGGGATGTGCAAGCGGGATTTAGAAAGGGAATGGGATGTACAGATCAAGTCTTTTCCATGCGCATGATCGCGGAGAAGTTTCTGGCCAAAAACCAAAAGGTTTTTTGTGCGTTCATGGACTTGGAAAAGGTCTATGACAGAGTGGATAGGGATTTGCTATGGCAAACACTGAACTCATTTGGGTTGAGCGCTGGCTCTAGTGCTCTAGTACTCTAGTGCTTGTGTTAGGAGCAACGGGGTCTACTCGGACTGGTTTGACATCCATAAAGGTGTCAGACAGGGCTGTGTGGCTTCCCCATGGCTGTTCAACCTATTTATGGACAGTTGTTTGCAAAATTTGAAAATTGAAGAATGCGGATTAAGAATGGGTGAGTTAACCGTCAAATGCCTTTTGTACGCCGATGATCAAGTTATTCTTGCGTCGTCGGCGGCCGAGTTACAAATGATGGTTACATTAATGAACGGATCATTAAAAGGAAGGGGTATCAAAGTGAACGCAATTAAGACGAAGGTTATGGTTTTTGAAAGAGAAGAAAGTAAAACGATTTGTGAAATAAGAATAAAAGGGGAGTTGATCGAGCAAGTAGATGAGTTTGTATATTTGGGCTGCGTATTTAGCAGGGATGGGAGATATGATAAGGATATAGAACGACGAGTGAATGCGGGAAATAGAGTAAATGGGGCCTTGCACTCTATTGTGAAGAGTCAAAATGTGTCGAATAAGGCACGTATGGCAATTCACAATGCTGTGTTGGTTCCTACTTTAACGTATGGTAGTGAAAGTTGGGTGTGGCAGAAGAAGCATGAGAGTAGAATAAACGCAATAGAAATGCGGTCGTTAAGGAGTATGTTAGAGCTGAGTCTGAATGACAGGGTAAGAAATTGTGTAATAAGAGAAGAGTGTGGTTTGCAAGATGATGTTGTGACCAGGATTAAGAAAGGAATGCTTCGGTGGTTTGGTCATGTGGAAAGAATGAATGAGGAAAGAGTGACAAAGAAAATTTATGGTGCAGAAGTGAATGGCAGAGTCGGAAAGGGACGTCCTAGGCGAAAATTTATCGACCAAATTGGCGATTTATTGAAAACGGGCCAAATTAGGAGTAACTGACGAGCATGTATGCGTAGGTGTATGGATGTGAAGGAGGCAAGAGAGTTGTGTCAGGATCGTGCCAAATGCAAGACTGAAAAATACATTCCTATGAAAATTATAATGTACTACCTATAATAAGTATTAATTAAAGATAGAGATATTTATTGTAATAAATATACCTAAGATAAGTATGTATGTAACAAAAAATACATATTAATGTATAACAAAAGAGCGCCATTATCGCCAACAAACTGTTGCACAGTTTGTCGATGTTTATTATTATTTTAAATCTGTGTATTTTATATGAATAAAGATTTAAAAAAAAAAATCTGTAGTCTCTGCCTACCCCTCTGGGTGACAGGTGTGAGTGTTTATGTTATGTTATTTTTCAACATTTCAGGTGCTTTACAGCACCTATGGTTACGGGGTAGCCCGGCTACCTTCAGTTTTTGAAGATTAATTTTTGGTCCGATCTATGTTGGTCTTTAGTTTAGTGCAAACAAAAAGTTCTATAAAACCCACATATTTTAACAATTTCATTTTAAGTGATTGATACTTTATTTTTATTTCAATGTTTTTAATTTTAGAGAGTAAATTTTCTTTCATACCACTAGAAGTTATTGAAATTTTTTTTATATTGTTCTCAAGTTTTGGCTGGAAGTGTGTACTTCAATTTAGGAAAAAATAGTTTTACCTTTTTGGTCATTTTTATCAATTGGCATTGAATTGTATCGTCCAAAAACCATTCCACTAGTTGAAGGTTTATTTAGGTCAGTAATTGAAGGAGATTCTGGCATAGAATTATGACGGCTAAATAGTGATTTCATAAAAGGGCTCTCTAAACATAACTCTGTTGACTTTTCAGTCTTCATTTCAGTCGTCCTAATGGGTGTTTGGATTTTTGAAGGCATCTGCGTAAGTCTTTCTAATACACTGTCATTTAAATTTCCAACAAAACTATCAAATGAGTCATTATTAAGTTGAGGTGAATCACATTTTTTCAGCCTTTTTGCACAAGGTGAATCTAATTTAATACTGTTAAGTATAGCATCCATAGAATCATGGTCCATTTTGAGGTTTATAGATGGGTTTTTGCTTAGATTATAGTTATTGGGTACATCATTGATTGGTCTTTTCTTAGGTGCATCAAACTTAAATATATTCTCTTCTACCATTTGACTGGCTCTCAAAAGGCATTCATTCATGGAATCATCTGATTCTATACCATTCTCTGGCTCGGGCTTAGTAAATTTTGAACTTAAAACATTTTTTCTTAAACAAGTATTGTTTCTTACACCACATTTTGGAGAGTATTCTTGCGAATCATTAAATATATCATCCTCAATATCATGTTTATCTACTATAGTGCTTTTTGTAGTTTTATTGCTAATAAATTCTTGTAAATGCTGATTTAATTCAAAAAGATCTTGTAAAAGCTCATTTCTTTTTTGAGAAGGTTTAACTGTTTTACGTTTTGGTATTGGTTTTTCTAATATTTTTGGTCTAATTGATTTTTTGGATCTCCTACTAAGTGGTGTTGTATTCTTGGATTGTGTCTTTGCATTGCCAGACTTTGGAGTGTAATGGTTCCATATCACATCAGTTTCACCTTCAGTACCATCTTGTGTACACAAAAATGGAACAGGGCTAGCAGCATCAGAATCACATAATGAATCACTATCCCTTGATGGTGACTCAATTCGATGTTCAGGTGTTGAGCATAGTACTGAAAAAATATTGAAAGTTAAATACATGTTAGATATCAGTATAAGGTAACAATTATAAGAAAAAATCCTCGCCTTAATTTCTTTACAAACATAACTATTATGCCTCACCTTAAAAAAAAACTATTGTAAAAAATACATTAAGTCTCAACAGAACATGGTAATACAATCTGTTTGATAAAATAATGCATATTGAACTTTGATTTCTTCAAAACGCATTGAAGAGAGAGTTCAGTCACTTTGTATTTGAAGTTATGATTGGAATGTAGCAAAATATTTTTCATAAACCACAGTAATTTCCTGACATGATTTATTAAGTTTACTGTTAAAATTTAATTATTAGTTTAAACCGTGAAGTTTCACCTTACCCGTATTGTTCTTAATTATACTCCACATCATTATAATTTTATTAGAAATGTTCACAATAAAGTTCATATACCTAACTTTTGTCTACTCTTCTGAAATCTTAATGTCGCCCATTTATTGAATGACTTACAACTGCTTAGAGAGACATTTTTTGAAGCAAAATTGTTGTTAAATTCTATGCAAACCAGTTTCAATATTATTGAAGCTGGTTTGCACTACATTAAAAAATTATATAAGGTTTTTCTGCTATATTACTTAAAAGCTTTACTAAGCAATATATTAAAACAGACACAACATACTATTAACTGTATTGAAACTGGTATTAGAAGTAATTGTCCACAGTGCTCAGAAATTTAATTTTGAAATATACGTTTAGGGTTTAGGCAACAGCATAACATCTACAAAAAAATATCTACACACAAGTTGCATTTGATTCGAACCGACAGGTGCTGCTACGTACACCTGTTGGCTCATAAACTATTGACCAATAATTACCTTTATTTTTATTTTTAGACGCAACCATATCAATGGCAGGCACAACACGTTTATTTGACATAAATAATTTAAAGATAAAACCATTCGAATCTAAAAGCAGGAAATCTCTTAGCTACCTGCTGCATATCAACTCAACGAATTGCATGCACACTTGAATAGAAGACCAAGCAACGGTTTAATGTAACGAAATCAAACGAAATATAAAGGTGTATAACATGAGAGAAGAAAATTTACTTTGACATTTCTATCAATATCAAACCATCAATGATCAAGGTCAAATCAATCATCTAATCATCTATCTGCATCTATCATCGTTGTCGTTGTTGTTATGTTTCGCCAATTAAGACAAGCAAAGGTCTTAGATCATACAGCCACACCTGACAATTGTATTCTATACGTAAAATTCAGAATAAGTTGATACGTCGTATTGCAAAACTCTTGAATTTTTTTACTGCAATTGAACCCAGTGGATAGTTGATGACGATATTATCCCAATACGCCTAAACGAATTAAAACCTTAGGCTTATATCACTATTGAAGTACTTCTTCCATCATCACTGCCTCATTGGTCTAGTGGTTGTAGTAGTGCGACTACTGATCATGAGGTCCTGGGTTTGAATCCCGGGTCGGGCCAAAAAATTAACTATTGAGTTTTTCCGTCTAGAAATTCTCAGTAGTTGCCCGGAGTCATGAAGTTGGCGGTGTCTCACCCCCGTGCCTAGGAAAGCACGTAAAGCCGTTGTTCCTGCGCCTGATCTCTTTCCGATCGTGTCGGTTTACCGTCTTATCGGATTATGAGAGTGAGGGAATAGAGAGTGCACCTGTGCTTGCGCATACACTTGGGCACTATAATCCTGTCCTGCGCCGATGGCTAGTCTCCGTTGAGGCAGGCCGCTGTGGCACTTTCACTTTTAATCAAAATTTACTCCAAACTATTATTTAAACGATAAACGAGCATTAATCTACAGGCATGCGGCAGTCAAGTTCATACCAAAACTCTTAAAGTCAAATAGATTGATGTGTTATGTTGTGGCTGTGATTTAAATATGATATACTAAATGTTTCACATTGTAAAAACAAAGAGCAGCGAGGTCTTAATAGGACAGTATGTAGCTTAAATAGTAACAAACCGTAACAAACAGTGACCAAATCTGAAAGAGAGAAGTAACGCTCTATAAAACATAAGAGTGTGAGAGAGATAAAATATCCATGAGCTTACGTGCCCGTTTAAAAGAAAAAGCTACCTTTTGGTAGCTTTTAACTATTTGGAGATTACGAATATGTAACTATTTGTGAATAATCACGTACAAATTAAACAATTTGGAAAATTGAGAGTAACGACATACTAAAACATGCAAGAAGTCGATGAATGAAGGTAACTCAGCACAGTGCTTTGTGGCATTTTTTGGGGAAGGTCTATGTTCAGCTGTGGACTCGTGAAGGACTGTAATCATGATGATAAATGATGAGTTCGTATTGATTTAAAATTTTACGTTTCCGTTTGATTCTGAATTTATTGCCAATTCTTTCGTATCAATACGGAAAATTCAGTTTTTTTCAGTTTCGATTTCGTTCCATGGCATCACTCTAGCTCGAGTATGCTTCTCGTTGGCACATTTTTCTTGTACGAAGAAGCCACTCTTCTTCGCTAGGAGTAATATTATAATATTAGGAGTATTAGTATAACATTGTTCTGTGGGTATTATGAAGGTTACTGCTTGGTGTATTCATAAGTTGCTAACTGCTTAGTGTTTTTAAATATAGTTGTAAGTGTTGATATAAATAAACAAAAGAATAAGCAAGCTGTAGAGCACGCCTTAGCGAGTGTAAATAGTAAGCACGGGTATGAAGTATGAACAGTCTTGAAATGGCAAGGGCGATATTATTAGTCACGAAAGGTCACATGCGTAATTTATTTCTCTTGACGGTATTTATTTGAATTATAAGCTACCAAAATGTGCAGTGGAATGTGTGGTAACACTGCAACTGCAAAACGACTCACGGAAGCAAACTAAGAAGAAAATGATATTTTTTCATCAGTATGTAATATTTCGATCAGAAAACAACGATTTTAACAAAAATACTTAGAATTCCAAAAGGGGAAGTGGAAGGCGCGCGCCCGAGGTGACATAGCACGTGCCCCGTGCCTCGCCCTTCGGGGTTTCCCCGAATTAGAGCTAGTGCTATGCCACGTTGTACTCGAATATTTTTAGTAATATGATTTCTTTCGTAATAAATATAATATAATCATTGCATTAGAAGTTAAGGTTTCTTGTATTTTTAACTCAAAGGTCAATACGCTTAAAATACTTTTCTAATTTCATATTTTATATATATGCCCGGTATATGCCTGTTTCCTGGACCTCTCTAAGGCTTTTGACCTTGTGTCATACGACTTGCTTTGGAGGAAGCTTGGTGATAGGGGTGTACCGGTTGGAGTTCTAAATATATTAAAGTATTGGTATGCCAATCAGACCAACTTTGTAAGATGGGCGGACTCTCTTTCGGAATCGTATGTGTTGGAGTGCGGGGTGAGACAGGGGGGGATTGACGTCTCCTGGGCTCTTCAACGTATATCTAAACGATCTCATCGTGAGGCTGAGTAGCATGCGTGTTGGGTGTCGGATTGATGGCGTCAGTATAAACAGCATAAGCTACGCAGACGATATGGTGCTGCTTAGCCCCACGGTCGGTGGTCTGAGGGAGATGCTGAATGTCTGTGAGACGTATGCTGCTAGGCACGGGCTTACATACAATGTAATAAAGACGGAATACATGATCTTTGAGGCTGCTGGTAAATGTCCCAATAATTCAACAAATATTACCCTTAATGGCGTGAACATCAAACGTGTGACTGAGTTTAAATATCTGGGGCATGTCATTACTAGCAGCCTCAAAGACGATGATGATATTGAAAGGGAGCGAAGGGCTCTGGTGGTTAGAGGTAACATGTTGACTCGCAGATTTTCTCGCTGTACAGAAGAGGTTAAAGTGACGCTATTTAAGGCATACTGCCAAAGCATGTACACGGGAAATCTGTGGGTCAAGCATACCAAGAAATCGCTAGACACTCTTCGAATCCAGTACAACAATGTCTTCAGGATGATGTTGGGCCTGCCGCGGTTTTGCAGTGCATCGGGAATGTTTGCGGAATACTAAACTGATGGCTTCGATGCCATCATTCGTAAAAAACGAGCTCCCTGATTAGCAGAGTGAGGAACAGTTCCAATAGCATCCTGAAGACATTAGCAAACCGATTTACATCTCCAATTTGGAAGTGCTTTGTGCAAAGAGTGACGATCACGGGAACATACCCTTTCCCCTGATGGTCACTTATGGTAACAAATATAATTGTAGATAATTAATTTATTATTATTATTTTAATGAGTATAATTTTTAATCCCAATTAATAAAATACTAACATATTTTGTAAGCCATTTTTACTAACACAATATGGATGTACAAGTTGTCCGAAATAAATGATTTATTATTATTATTATTATATTTTTGAAAAGCCGTGATATGGCAAATAAATAGGTGGTAACAATAAAACGTGTAACAATTATTTTTGATTCATATTTAGTGAGAGGGCCCTAATGCAAGTATAATTTGATTTAAGCGTTTTGTCAACTCTTATCCTTATCAAATATAGTTAGTGGATAACTCTTGTTGGCTAAATTTTCTAAAACTATTTGTAAAATTTTTAGGTTATAATATAGTAAAACTGTTTTTTCATCATAAAACTGGGAGCACAAAATCAATAATTTCGTTTGTTTCATCCATTTTAGCACTTCGAATATTTTGAAAGCAACGGTGAACAACGCAAGCTGGTTGAAGGTGCGATACCAGTGCTTAAAGAAGAACGCTTACAGTTATTTTTAAGAGATTAAAAATTAGGTTCGGCAGTTATTTATGTAAGTACCTACGTAATTATGTATAAATTAACACTTTTTAAGGGCAATAATTTAATTAGATTTTTGTGTTTGATTAATAAACGCTGTTTTATAAATTCTTACCTATGTTTTATTGACCTAAAACATACCTAATAATTATTGACCTACCTAATATTTACAAATACTTACATAATTAAATTAATCACTTAAGTACAATAATCTTCAGTCAATAATACTATAATTGATCGAAGCCATAATGCATAAGCATCAATCTTGTCGCATCACTATTCAATCGCTCTAACTGTGCATCTGCATCTATAAAACATCTGGTTACGTTTGGTATAATGGAAAATGAGCGATACACGCACTCTATAGCTTGCTTATTGCTTATTTATACTCTAAGTTCTGCGTTGGGGACGGTGAACACGGAAATTACATACACACGGATAGAAGAAATATATACATATAGATTGGCAGCACTGCAACCAGCCGATACAAGGCGGTAATTGCGGTCTGTGTCTATGACAGGGGACAGGCAACTCTATGGTCAGTCAGACACAGACAGTCGTCTCTAGTATATACTCAGTAATCTATGGACAGTCGACTTGAGACTAGTGCGAAGTTTGGTTGACGTCTATTTGTTTTCTTTGAGGTCGTGATGTCCTATCGGAAGTGACATTTTTCTGTGCAAAGTGTTTAAAGAACAGTGCAAAATGCTCGCTGACGGTGAAGTAGTTGGTGACGGATCATGGAATCTTACGATCTATGTTACGGACTTAAACGAGAAGAGAACTATGGTTGTCAAAGGAGACATGCATATCGGCGGGGTTATGCTAAAACTCACAGAAAGCTTTGGTAAGTAAGCTAATAAATGTAAATACATTGCTGTTTTACTAACAAACTTTGAAATAATGACTGGTTTTCTTGAGATACTTTCATCTCCAGAATGACATTATTGATGGAGATGAGGTGAGATGATGTCAATTTTTTTTCATAAAATTGACTTCAGTGCTGAGTCATGTTTGCCATAAAGGGAGCTTTTTATGAATTTAGTATTTATACATTTATAAATATGAATACTTGATGATTAAAATAAACTTATTTTTAAAGATTATAAATTTTAAAGGGAAGTAGT